GGAAAGAGGAAAAATGAACTTTTGCATCTTATTGAGAGGAACATCATTGATGGGAATAACTATTCTGAAGGGGATCAGCAACACACCCTCACTAGAACCTCTAGGAGGGGTGGGCTACATCATCATGTTTAATAGTATGGTCTGGAATATTAGGGGAGTAGATGACCCCTGCTCTCTTAATTGTCTTAAATATTTATATAGGGCCCGTAAGCTTTTTATTTTTTCCATTTTTGAATCTTTAGCCACTGTGAATAGAGAAAATTTTAATGAAATTCAAGCATTAAGATCACTAATGCAATAAAGATAAGAAGATTTGGGCCTTTTAGAAAGCTAAAGTTAGTTTATCTATTGTTGAAGATGAGGATCAATTTGTTCTTTGTTCTTTCAAAATGGAGGATTTTCAAAGCTGGACTGCTTTTATTTATGCTAGTGATTCTCTTCTAGATAAATTTTCTTTATGGACCAAATTAGCTCTTATGGGTGATGTAAATTTAGGCAATTGGCTAGTTGGAGGTCATTTCAATATGGTGATGAAATCTTCTGAGAAGAAGGAAGGGGGAATATGTGACATGACTCTTATAAACAAATTATGTGACAAAATTTCTAATACAGGTCTATATGGCTTGGGTTTCTCTGGCACTCCTTATATCTGGAGAAGGGGCCTCACTTTCCAAAGAATTATTAAATTCTTTGGTAACCAACATTTGTTAAATTATTTCACAGTTTTCAAAGTGCAGCACCTTAATCATGCTTCTTTTGATCACAATCCAATTATCTTATCCTTAGCTTTCCTTAAAAAATCTTCCAAGTATAAATTTAGACTTTTTTGAATATTTATGCTTCTCATGACACTTTTCTTAGTCTCATAACTATACTAAGATGCCAGGAGGAAATTTTTTGGATATTTTTGTGAAGTTCTATTTAGCTACTTTTATTTTAGCTTATGATGTTGTTAAGTTGGTGAAGTGGTGTAAGCTGATTACTCCTTTTATTAAAATAAATGTTGATGGTAGTTGGAATTCTTATTTGGCTGGAATAGGTGGTGATTGCAGTGATTGTTTTGGTATTTTGGTTTTTTGGTTTGGGGCTTCTACTGTGGTTGTTTTCCCTTTATGTAGAGAAGTAGATGCGGTGGTTTTTGGTCTGCTATTGGCTAAGCTTTTTGGTTGGAAAGTTGTACATATAAAAGTAGATTCTTTAATTTTGTGGATTTTTTATAGGAACAAGATGGATTTCCATTGGAGAATTCAACTTCATATGAGAAGAGTTTTGAATTGTCTAAGAGTTAGGATAATATTTGGTCTTAAATTGAAAGAGATGAGAGAAAAGTTATTGATTGGGCTGCTTGTCTGGGATCTAAACTGAGCTCTTTTTGTATCTCTAAATGTTTACTTAAACAATTGTATTTACTGATTTTGCAGGATGGTTTTTAGTTTGGTTTGTTTTTTATTTTTGTTTGGGTTTGTTGGAGGGTTGTGTTGTATTTTTTTATTTTTTTGGAGGGGGGTCCTCTAAGTTTTATTTTTTCGTGTGAGTTGTGTGTTGTGGTAGTGTGGAACCTCTTCCATGTATGTTATAATTGTTTTTTTTTTGTGTGGAATAAAATTCCTTGTGGTGTTTTTCTTACAAAAATATAATTTCCACCGTAAAGAAGATAATTAATTTTTCTAATAATTCTTGTAGAACAACTGCCTTCTTAATCATACTTCCACATTACTAAACCCAAAAAAGGGGATGATTATAACTACTTAGCACGCTAGATCTTACCACTAAAGCACAAGAAGTACTTACAAAAAAAAAGTCACTGATGATACATATGAATTTTCTCATAAAGCAAATAACTATCACCAAAAAGCAACATCTCAAATGAAAGATTTATGGGAATATGGAAGCAAATCACCAAATCAAAAGTTAAGAGTAAGAAAAATTAAGGAGCGATGATAGGAGAGAGGAACTACGATTGAATAGAGGAGCGAGCCAAAAAAAATTAAGGCAGATGGGATTGAAGCAAAATTTCCTCTCGAAATGAATCCAGGGTAGAAACAATCAAATGATATATGTGTAAGGGAAATATAATTTCGATCGGGGTGAAATTAAATAGTTTATGACAGTGCTTATAAGCGTTGACATATTATTTAAAAAGAGAAGCATTTATAAGCACTGCCGTAGGGTGGGATATTACGACACTAATAAAAACACTCCTTGTTTGCGCTATGCTAGACAAAATTTTCTGACAATGTATTCAAGATATGTCTATTATGGAATCTATACATTTATTGAGAGGTTTGGTAGAGAATGTTTTAGAGAGTAAGAAATATCTTCATATGCTTTTTATTGATTTTGAAGAAGCTTATGATAAGGTTCCAAGTGAAGCTCTTTGGAGACTTCTGGTAAAAAATAGTGGTGATATGTCTTATATTGAAGTTATTAATGATTTGTATATTGGAGTTACTTTTCTTGTTTCAACAAAATGAGGATTGACAAGGTACTTTCCTATTTCAATTGGATTGCATCAGAGATCTACTTTAAGCCCATTTTGTTTCACATTAGTTATGGATTCTTTTAGTGGACATTTTCAAGAGATTGTACATTGGCGTATGCTTATCTCTAATGAAATTCTTCTTATAGATAAGACTAGAGCAAGAATTAAGAAAAATCTTGATCCAAGGAGGTCTACTTTAGTTTCTAATGGCCTTCGTTTGAGTAGATCTAAAACTGATTGCATAGAATGTAATTTTTTGTAGAAATAGGTCTACTGGTGGAGTTGTAATAATAAATGATCAAATCATTAAAAGAAGTGAACATTTTTTATATGTCAATTCTATTGTTCAAAGTGATGGAAATATGGATGGGGATGTTATTAGTTGAATTCAAGTTGGATGGTTTAAGTAGTGGAATGCATTAGGCATTATGTGTGACAGAAAATTACTGCTTAGACTTAAAGAAAAATTTTGTAAGGTGGTGGTGGAACCTGCAATGCTTTATGGTGCAGAATGTTGGCCTATAAAGGAGAACATAAAACTATGTTAATTGTTGTTGAGATGAGAAAGCTGGGGATGTTATTAGTTGAATTCAAGTTGGATGGTTTAAGTAGTGGAATGCATTAGGCATTATGTGTGACAGAAAATTACTGCTTAGACTTAAAGAAAAATTTTGTAAGGTGGTGGTGGAACCTGCAATGCTTTATGGTGCAGAATGTTGGCCTATAAAGGAGAACATAAAACTATGTTAATTGTTGTTGAGATGAGAAAGCTTTGGTGGATAAGTGGCTTTACACTTAGAGACAAAACGCAAAGCGACAGTATCCCTGATAGGAATGGCAGGAAAGATTAGAGAAATATTTTTAGATGGTTTGGTGACGTTAAACATCAATCAGCTGATGACCCAGTTAGGAGAGTAAATGCTTTAAATTA